TTCATTTTCTTATCATTTTAGGGGTCTTCATTTTCATATCAATTTAGAGAGCATTAAGGTATACCAAGTCCTTCAAGTGTAAGTGTAATATTAACAAATAAGTGAAAGGCTCACATGATTTTCCCAGGTCAAGTAAATGGAATGTTGCATAAGGATTATAAAAAAATGCTTGTAAGTATAGATTTAACTACAACCATATCAAGGAAATTAAATACCTTGCAATATGGTTTATTCAGCAAAATTTATTAAGATTTACATAGGTTGTGATAGGTATTATCATGTATACAGTTTGGTAGATTGAAAAGCATAGCCATAATATTTTGTGGCTCCTCTCATGAAGACATGGAGTCTGTTTCCACACTCCTTCAATCTGGGATGATCTTGTGACTTTCTTTGGCAAATAGAATGGGCAGATCAAAGCTAGGTCTTCAGAGGGCTTGCAGCTGCCATGCCAAAAAGGAAGCTGGTTGATTGATTGGAGGCTAAGAGGTCTCATGGAGAGAAACTAGGCGCCACAGCCAACAATGAAACCTGACCATAGACCCCAGTGGTGGGACCATCCTGAGCCTTCCATTCAGCCAGACTTCTAGCTGAACACAGCTGCAGGTGTGAGCCCAAGAAAACCAAAGGAGCTTCCCACCGAACTATGTGAGATGATAAATTGTTACTTTTTTAAACCAATAAGTTTGGGGGAGTTTGTTATGCAGTAATAAAAAACTGAAACATGCATGAACTATTTTTTGGAGTTTGTTTGTATATATTATTTGAGCAGGGTTTAATTAAATGTTATTTTGTTCATTTAGCAGTTAGCTACTGGATAGCTGCTATGCACTTTGTTCTAAGTGTTGTAGGAAGATTATAAAGTATAAATACTGTCATCGAGGTTGATAATAGTTGAGTAGCATTGATAAATATTTAACACTAAATATATATATATATACATATTTGTAAAAGTGTAGCTATCTAAGACATGAACTCATATATACTTTAGAAATTCATCAGAAACACTGTAGCTTGGGATACAAAAAAGTCTTCATGAGGGAGGTCATATCTGAGCTAGGGTTTCAAAAAATGGGAATTCTTGTAGGTATTGGAGAAAGAGGATTTTCAATTGAAAGAAACAGATTGGGCAAAAGGTATACATTGGGCCATAGGTTATATATATTATGATAAGCAAACAGTCCAAATAACATGTAAAAGGGAGATAAGTGAGACAAACGAAGAAAAAACAGGTTAGATCCAGGTTTTGGATTCTAGTTAATTCTTTTTTCTTACAAAGCTTTGCAAAGATTTATCAAATGATTATTAATTATCTGCTACTTTTTCACCTTATTTTCCACCTTATTTCTCTTTACTAGAGGCACCTTATTTTATTTCATTTTCATTTATTTTCTTTCTTTATTTTTGGCTGGGTTGGCTCTTCATTGCTGCGTGTGGGCTTTCTCTCATTGCGGTGAGCAGGGCCACTCTATGTTGCCGTGGGCGGGCTCCTCATTGCGGTGGCTTCTTTTGTTGCGGAGCATGGGCTCTAGGCGCGCGGGCTTCAGTAGTTGTGGCACGTGGGCTCAGAAGTAGTGGCTCGCGGGCTTAATTGCTCTGCGGCATGTGGGATCTTCCCAGACCAGGGCTTGAACCCATGTCCCCTGCATTGGCAGGCAGATTCTTAACCACTGCGCCACCAGGGAAGCCCTTGGATTCTAGTTAATTCTATATGCACCACGTATCTATTGCTGAATAACAAGCCACTGCCAAACCCCAAACTTTGTAGTTTCTCACAGTTGTGTGATGGGTGACTGGGGCAGTTTTTCTGCTGTTCTCACCTGTGATTACTCTTTTGGCTTCAGTCACGTGACGGCCTCACAGGTGCTGGTGAGTCTAAGACGGCGTCTTTCTGCTGTGCAGCTGTTTGTGCTGGCTGGCAGCTGGGACATGCTGTTTTTTCTCCGCATGGCCCCTCATCCTCCAGTTGACTATATGGGGCTGCTGCACAGCACCATGAGTGAGAACAAGAACTTCAGTGTCTTCAGAACTTCCAAGACTTGGAAGTCTTGGTCTTAGACTTCCAAGAAAGTGAGAACAAGAACTTCAGTGTCCCCTAAGGTCTAGGCTTATGCAACTCACACAGCATCACTTCCACAATACTCTATTGGTCAAAACAAGTCAATAGGCCAGCTTAAATTCAAGGTCAAGGAGAGACACACTGTACACCTTAGTGGGAAGTACAGCAATATCATGTTGCAAAGGAGAATGAACATAAGAATTGATTTATTGGCAGCTATTATAATAGTATGTCACACCACAAATTAGAAAGTGTTCTCGGGCTTCCCTGGTGGCGCAGTGGTTGAGAGTCCGCCTGCCGATGGAGGGGACACGGGTTTGTGCCCTGGTCCGGGAAGATCCCACATGCCGCGGAGCGGCTGGGCCCGTGAGCCATGGCCACTGAACCTGTGCGTCCAGAGCCTGTGCTCTGCAACGGGAGAGGCCACAGCAGTGAGAGGCCCGCGTACCGAAAAAAACAAACAAACAAAAAAAAAGAAAGTGTTCTTCAACAGTGAGAATCTAGTTGCTTTTTTGAACCTGAGATTGATATATCCAAGCTGTGTTTAAAGAATATGAATATGGCCTTTATGAGTGGGTCGCATTAAAAGAAGGACAAACTGAAGACCAGGAAGCAGAGCAGGAGATTTTTTTCTGGTAGTTCTGGTCACGGTAACACCTGTCTGAATTAGGAAATGTACATTTTATCTATAAACAAAGATTTGCTTTTAATGTGTAGTGATGCAAAATATAGTAAGCCCTTCAGTAACATTTGAATTCTTAAAAGTATATAAATTATATTTTTCCTCATTCTATTTCCTACTGAAGTGTAAAAGTGATGCGAAGTTGTTTACCTTCTCAAATATAAATTATTTTAAATAAAGTAAAAAACATATTCCACAGAAAGGTCTATTGTTATCAAACAGTTGTTCTCTTTGGTTGTACGAAGGCTCCATCTGAATAGTCTTAGAATTAACTTGGCTGGTATATTGCATAGAGCTGAGAAAATAAACTGACATGAGTCAACTATTATGACCTGGCAGCTTACACAAAATTTCTGAACATAGAACAAGTGAAATTTTGTTGAAATGTTCTGGAGACCTGGAGTTAAGAAAACAGAAAAAGAACAGAACAGTTCCTGCCTCAGAAGCAAAATGATGACATGTACCCTACTGTTTCTCTTCTATCCCTTGGTTTATCTACCTGTGTGCCTACCCATCTTCCTAACTATCCAGTGGCTTATATACTCTGCCTTAAAAAGATTTAAGATAATTGAATATTTATGATATGTAACTTAGACAAATACATAGATATCTTAAAAGGCTGGAAAAGGAATTTCTGTAGTTTAAACATTGAATAGCACATCTTCTTGGTCATCATAATCAAGCTGTGTCTGCTTCTGTATAGAAGTTACAAGGAGTATCCAGAAGCATACAGGGATTTTTTTGACAGCTTTATAAAGGTGTAATTTACATACCATAAAATTCACTCATGTTAAGTGTAAAAATCAATCATTTTTAATATATTTACAAGGCTCTGCAATCATCACCACAGTCCAGTTTTAGAACATTTTCATCACCCCATTCCTACCATCAGTCCCAAGCAACCCTTAATATGCTTTCTGTGTCTTTTCTGGACATTTCATATAAACAGAATCATACAATATGTAGTCCTTTACATCGGGCTTCTTTCACTCTTTTTTTGGCTTGTTCATATTTTAACATGCATCAGTACTAGATTCCTTTTTATTGCTGATTTTTTATGTTACAAATCTCATTTCCCTCCAACATTGCACATATATGCATGTTTCATAGCCTTTTTTTTTTTTTTAGCTAGTAGCAGTGCTATTTCTAATGCTATTTTAGGAATTCTACTTTGGGAACATCTTATAACAATTTCTATGCTGTTCCCTTACTTTCATATCATCGAAAGCTTTGTACAGATAATCGATCTACTTAGAGACTCATTTTTAGGGGCACCTTGCAATGGTTAACTCCTCAAGCCTTTCCTGTATACAGTTGTCCCTCTGTATCCACAAGTTCCACATTTGTGGATTCAACCAATCACAGATTGAAAATATTTGGGAAAAAATTTCCGGAAAGTTCCAAAGAACAAAACTTGAATTTGCCGCACACAAGCAACTATTTACATAGACTTTGCAACTTATTTATAGCTATTTTTATAGCATTTACATTGTATTAGGTACTATAAGTAATCTAGAGATGATTTAAAGTATACAGAAGGATGTGTATAGGTTATATGCAAATATCAATACTATGCCATTTTATATAAGGGACTTGAGCATCTGTGGATTTTGGTATCTGTGGGGATCCTGGAACGAGACCCCAGGGGATACTGAAGGATGACTGTGTATGGAACACACACACATGGAATATATACACGTATATCTATACCACATGTATATACTGAAAAATGTCTCTCTGTTAAAAAAAAAAAAGACTACCGACTATTGCTATTTTCTTTTGAATTTTATTTTATTTACTTTTTTTATACAGCAGGTTCTTATTAGTTATCTATTTTAAACATGTTAGTGTATATATGTCAATCCCAATCTCCCAATTCATCCCACCACCACCCCCTGACAATTGCTATTTTGATGGGGAAGAAATCTAGTGAATTCTGGTGTCTGTGTTTCCTTGACACACATTCAAAATGTTTGTGTAAGTCACCCATGAAATTCAGTCTATTTATTTTACATGCTATTCAAGTATACTTTGTGATACTTTGGCTACAATTTTTGGCTACTAATGAAAATAAGACTATATCTGTTTGATGTAGGAAAAAAAGCTTAAAAATTATATTTCCTCAATCAAAATACTGTTCCATATAAGTTCCTAACTACTAAGTGGATTTATGAAATGCACTTTGGTTTTCAAGAGAGTCATGAGAAGCAGTGTGCCTAATTTGAAAGTTTTAATTGTAATACACATGTGTTTCTTTAGCATTTGTGGAATCCAACATCTGGAACGAATAGGAAAGAAGCTGAATCTCTTTGACTCCCTTTATTTCTGCATTGTGACGTTTTCTACTGTGGGCTTTGGGGATGTCACTCCAGAAACATGGTCGTCCAAGCTTTTCGTTGTTGCCATGATCTGTGTTGCTCTCGTGGTTCTCCCCATACAGGTAAACACAACCATGTTAAATTTTATAGGAACCTGCAAAGTCTTATGAAATCAAATCTTCCACATTTAATAAAAATTGCAGGGTGGCTTGTTAATCTAACAATAATATATTAACACCTGCTATTGTTCCATCCAGTCAATTAATTACAATTGTATCAGAAACGCCTTTTTGCATTGTATTAGAAACACTGAGTTTTTTTTTCCCTCCAGTCACAATTGATAGCTCACATTTCATTTCAATTCTTCAAGGTGCTTTCTTTCAAATGTAGAGTACTTATGTTAATTTTAGGATTGTAGGATAGTATATTTTTAAATTATAGAATGATAGCTCAAGGAAATATACTTGTGAAGTGTTGATTTCTCTTGAGTCTTGAAAATACATGTAAAAGCCATATGTTGTAATGAATAAAAATTGTTTCCATATGATGGTCAACTAAAACAAAATCTGAAGATGATACATAGCTATCATGCAGCATTTTGGAGAATGGATAAGGAGATAGCAAAGGGACAGAGATATAAAATGAGACTAAAGGTACGTAGAGGCAATCTTCAACTTTTTCCTGCAATGAACTCTGGGTGTCCATGGGTGGGCAGGTCAGAAACAGGATGTGGCCAATACAAATAAATCTTGCATGTTCCGTTACAGAACCATTGGACACAGTGTATTGAAATATACTTTACATAGGTATAAAAATGATCTTCGGGCTTCCCTGGTGGCGCAGTGGTTGAGAGGCCGCCTGCTGATGCAGGGGACACGGGTTCGTGCCCCGATCCGGGAAGATCCCGCATGCCGGGGAGTGGCTGGTCCCGTGAGCCATGGCCGCTGAGCCTGCGCGTCCGGAGCCTGTGCTCCGCAACGGGAGAGGCCACAACAGTGAGAGGCCCGCGTACCGCAAAAAAAAAAAAAAAGATCTTCCCGTTCCTATCCAATCATACATGTCATCCTTAATGACACCCCTCCCCTATACACTCCACAACCGTTAGATACCAGCTACTAAATAACTAGAATGTGGCCTTTTGTTGGTGGTAAGGGTATCTCCCCTTGCAGGAGATGTGGGCTGAAGTTGATAGAAGAATGTGGGAGAAAAAAGTGAGGCTTTTCTCTTTGACTCAGTGCATGACATATATAGCTGCATACCCTACTGGACAGAGCAGAGGCACGGACCTCTTAGTGCCCTGACCTCTTAATAGGAAAATCATATTACTGTGTTTCCTGAAGACCTGAAGGCCCTGGGAGGCATTAGCAAGCTCTGCAGCCATCCTGTGAAGAGCCTCTTATTGAAGGGAACACTGATCATTTGAATCTCAAAGACTTTCATCTAAGAAATTGAGTATACTTAATAAACAACAGATGTATTGCATTTATTTTTATTTTTATGTCCCGTGTCTTTCATTCACATGTGGAAAATGCATTACAGTTTGAACAGCTGGCCTATTTGTGGATGGAGAGACAAAAGTCAGGTGGAAACTATAGTCGACACAGAGCTCAAACTGAAAAGCACGTTGTTCTGTGTGTCAGCTCACTGAAGATTGACTTACTCATGGACTTTTTGAATGAATTCTATGCTCATCCAAGACTCCAGGTACCTTTAAACAGATCATACCTACTAACATTGTCAAGGTCAGTTAATCATAGTACAGCCTGTGTTCTGGAGGATTTTTATTTATACACTCAAATTTAGAATGAGAAAATGAAGAACTACAAATATAACCAGGAACATAGAAAAAAATGCTGGAGGAATACACAGTATGTTAAGTTTCCTTCTGTATCTATACTGAAAGACAGATGGAATTATGTTACTGCTACAAAGAAAGGTTTCCTCTGATTAAAATGATTGCTTTTTTCTCCCTTGGGTAATGCATAAATGATATTTTTATGAAACAGTGAAATTTAACATAAAATATAATAAAACAATGAAAGAATCATTGCAATATCATCTGCTCACTTGAATATTTCAGAGTTTTATCAAGTGTTGCTGATAGAAATGTGGAAGTCTGGAAGTTCCATTTTTCCTTTTGTTTCCTTATTTATAGTAACAATAAGTGACCAAAATTTGGGAAATAACTTGCTGATTGAGATCATAAATTCAGAAAAATCTCTTCTTCTGTCTATGCAGACGAACTCCTCAGATACTTCTTCCACTTGCCATGGTTCTGGGTCATTGTAGACTTAGGTCATCTCCTTTGCTGCTCAAGGCACTTAATCTAGTCCAAACAGCAAAGAGCTACTTGAATTTCTTGTGTTTCCCCAATAAATTAGTGGCAAGAGTTTGGATAATCCTGAGGTCAAGACAGTGCTGAGTACATCAATTATCTCTCCCTTAAATAAAGAGCTTTTTTCTTGAATAGTTTAGAGAACTTTTAAAATACTACTTTTTTGGATTCAAAAAAATCTAATTTAGAAGTGATACTTATATAATATATTCTTCTGTTTTTGCATAAATTATTTTTCCTTTTTTACAGGAATTCCAAATTTAATGGTTAGGTTTTTTATTATTCATATTAAATAATTTCAGATGCTTATTATAACCCACAAAGAAAATCTATTTTGGGGAAAATTCGATCCTTCCAAATTTTGATCCCTAGTAATTTATTTTGTCTAATATCAATATGGAGAATTCTTAGAACTCCAAAAATTCCTACTAGATATATTATAAAGTGATAAAATGGTGAGTGTTTACCAGAGAATTTGAATTCTTATAGATAAATTATTTTAAATTCTTATAGATTTTAAATTCTTACAGATTGTTTTTTATTTTCTCCAAAAGACCATTATTTTGAAATATTTTGATCTCAAACTTTTAAATTTAAGTTACTTTGTCAGTATTATCAATATTTTTGTGAATCTTTTTCCATTCAGATATTCATCAGAATATTTTCAATATTATCAGTTCATAATAATATTACCAAATAATACAAATCACCATCACAGTTTTTATTCTAAAAGTAACAATTCGAAGTATGAATTGATCCTTAGGACTTCTGGCTGGTATGCAATTTATCTTTTAGAATCAGCCTGAAGTCGTAACTGAAAACTTCGTAGACTGGAAATGTGTGCTGAGTATAAGCACCGATTACCTTCCCTTCCTGGTACTAATAAAATTGAAAAAGATCAGGATGAATATATTGATTTATGAGATTTTTATATGTCTGTTATGTTTATTACTGAATCATTTTATTTAACGCTAGGTTTTAAATGCAAACTTTTATTTGTTATAAGAGTTAATTTCTACTTTATCATATTTCGAAATGTTCTTAGATATTCTATTTACCTACATAGTATAAAACAAAGCATTATTGTCTCTAACCCATGGCCCCCTTTGTTTTGAGTAGGATTATTATGTGGTGATTTTGTGTCCTACTGAAATGGATGTGCAGGTCCGAAGGGTCCTACAGATTCCGATGTGGTCACAAAGAGTCATCTACCTTCAAGGTTCAGCCCTTAAAGATCAGGATCTGTTGCGAGCAAAGTGAGTATATCTCTTCAATATTTTCCATCTTGTACTGTTTTAATATCTTTTCTCTCCTCCAAATTTTAGCAGTTTTCAGTGTTGCAAGGTGTGTTTTTGAATACAGGCTTTTGCTTTCATCCCACTGCTGGTCAAATTGGAAGGTTAAAAATATAAAATCCGCGTATTTGCTCCTCTTTCTCAGGGCAGGGATGTTTGGCAGACGGTGTCCACACAACACGGTGAGAAGTGTGGTGTCACGTAATTATCTCAGGCTTCTGGGAGGTGAGCTGAGTTATCCAGACTCAAGGAGAGTCATCTCCAAATCCCTGGATACTGTTTTTATTCCCAGATAAAAATCTTGGGCTAAACATTGTGTGAGATGCCAAAGCAGTTCGTGTCAGGGTTTAAATTTAAGGAGCTTGTATCATATACGGGTCGGGTAACACTTGTGTTGCCCGGTGGTGTCTGAGATGAAAGAGTCCTTGGGAACTGGAAGAATCAGAAAGGTGACAGGGGTCTTAGTTTCTCTCTTCTTGTTGTGTAGGTGCCAGCCCACCAAGCTTAAAGGTGACATAGTCTTACACATTTGTCACAGGTCATGAGGGTCATTTCATGGGGGCAGAGTGAGAGGACGGTTGGTTAGGCTGTAGACACTGGGGAATCTGGGCATCTGCAAAACAGCATCCTTAGTTTCAGAAGCCAGAAGAGATCCTTAGCACAAGTAGCTTTGCTCAATGTTTTCTCTTGTTTTACAAGTTTTAAACATATCTTCATGTTTATCCTTGAGTTGTCCTACAAACTCTTTTAGGTTTAAAAGTATCTTCCCTCAATTTCATAACATAACTGTTTTTTTCTTTGTTGTTGTTTTGGTTTTTTTCCAGATCGCTTGAGTATGTGTGTTAGTATATGTGTACTGGTGCATGTTCTCCATGTGTTTGTGTATGTTCTGTGTTTCTTTATGCATGTTCTCTGTGTGTTTGTGTGTGTATGGGGGAGGGGGTGTGTGGGTGATGGAAAAGAACAGAAGAAAATTTCCAAACTCATTTTTGCTGCTTACTCCTGCAAAAGATGACTAGATAGCTCATAACAGGAACTCTGACATTAGTTTTGATTTATATATAATAGGTCAGTTTAACTGAGATTTTTCCAAAGATTTAATGACTTCTGAAACAAAAAAGTCAGTAGAAACTGTCAGGATATAATGAATGGTACATAATTGTAAAACTAAGCTTCTTTGAGAATATATTGGATGAGCCAAAAAGTGTCTTCAGTTTTTTAAGTAAAAATAAAAGACACATTTTTCATTTTCACCAAGAACTTTATTGAACAACGTATTCACCTTTTTGTTCCACTACCTTCTGCCATTTTTCAGGCAACTTCGTAATTCCATCTTCCCAAAACTTTTTATCTTTTTGAGCAAAGAACTGTTCCAGGTGCCTTTTACAGTCTTCCAGGAAACTCAAATTTTTTCCATTAAGAGAATTTTTAAAGACTGAAATAAATGGAAATCCGAAGGGGCAATGTCTGGAATACGGTGGATGAATCATAACTTCCCAGCCAACCTGTAACAGTTTTTGCCTGGTCATCAAAGAAAGATGAGGTCTTGTGTTATCCTGATGGAAGGTTGTACGTTTTATATTAACTAATTCTGGACGCTTTTCATCGAGTACTGCTTTCAGTTGGTCTAATTGGGAGCAGTACTTGTTGGAATTAATTGTTTGGTTTTCTGGAAGGAGCTCATCATAGAAGATTCCCTTCCAATCACACCATATACACAGCATCACCTTCTTTGGATGAAGACCAGCCTTTGGTGTGGTTGGTGGTGCTTCATTTCACTTACCCCATGATCTCTTCCATTCCACATTGTTGTACAGTATCCACTTTTCTTTGCCCATCACAATTTGTTTTAAAAATGGAACATTTTCATTACGTCTCAGTAGAGAATCGCACGTGGAAACATGGTCAAGAAGGTTTTTTTCGCTGAACTTATGTGGAACCCAAACATCAAAGCGATTCGCATAACTAAGCTGGTGTAGATGATTTTCAACGCTTGATTTGGTTATGTCGGCTATCTCCCGCGTGGTATAATGTTGATTGTTCTCAGTTATTGTTTCAATTTGATCCTTATCAACTTCAACTGGTCTACCCGACTGTGGAGCATCGTCCAGCAAGAAATCTCCAGCACGAAACTTCGCAAACTTTTGACACGTTCAATCAGTCGCAGCACCTTCTCCATACTAGAGCCATCTTACCCAAAAGACTGAACGAAACTTTTGGCCCACCCAATATTAGTATTTGTTGTGGATTACATACTTCATATATGTTGTCACTATACATGACAGTTCTAGAATAAGTCAGATTCTCCCATTACCTCAAGTAAAACACAGGTGTTTGCTATTTGCTATCTATACTCATTATTTGGGAACCGTAAAGAAATAGTTGCTTAGACAGTAATATAACTTGGATCTTTATATTCATCTGCATAGGTAATCAATATGCTTAATTTATTATAATGAGTTAAGTTCTTCATATGGTAAGAATGAGTCATGCACATATTATGGTCAGTATGAATTTCTGTGATAAATGAAGTCTTTTGACTACCTAATAAATTAATCTAAGCCATTAGGATTGGCTGTTAGTATCTTAGCTCGATACTACCTAGGATTAACACACTCATTTAGTATTAATAGTGTTAATAATGGTTTCTTAGCAAAATCAGTCACATTTGCAAGAAGCATTCCTCCATAAGAATAAAAAAGAAAAGTGTGGATGAGTGAGAGGTAGCAGGGTGGTAATTCTCAAAAAGCTGAATTAAGAAAGAAGGCACCATTTCTATGTTCATTTCTTATCCTATGTCACATGAAGATTTGGGATTTAATGTTAACTAATACATTCTTCAGTACAATTCCCCATGCAAGAAACAAGGAGTAGGATTCTCCAAACCAGTTCCAAAGGTCAGTTGTATGAGTTTTGAATTGCTCTGTTGAAGATGACATTTAGAAAATGTTATACAATGCTCATAGTGTCTTAATAACCATGACTACTTCACATTTTTCCAAAACTGTTTGGTTTGGTCTAATTCCATGGATTTTTCATAGAAAATATTTTGGAGAAAAATTCTTTTATCATAATGAACCAGAAAGATAAATAATTCCTTATTTTGAAAATACACAGTTTTATGTTTTTAGAACATTACTTATCAAGCACTGAAGCGTAATTACTGTTTATCACTACATTTAAGAAATATAGAACTTTAGCATGAAAGGAAAGGTTTTCGAACAGTTGATGATTCATCTCCAGGAAATATAAATGTACGGTAGAGTTTGGCTTACAAATACTAAGCAGCTTTGTTTCCTCTCTCTTAGTTTTGTTGACATACTGAAGCCAAAATGTAATCCATCTAAACTAAAGGCTAATACAACTCCCTCAATTTACACAAAGTATATATATGAAAAAAATATACAATGATAAAAGAGAAAATAAAAGTTGACTTTTTTTAACTTCTGTCATTATAAGCTCTTGAGTTATATAGCCAATCTACAACAATTATTTTGTTTATAGTCAAATATAGTCACGATCCTAGAAATCCTACTTTCATTTAAACCTAAGGATGTCCGTAGTTTACACGTACTTTATATGCACTGGAATTCTATTTTGCAGATAATGCATAGATATACACAGATATGTCAGTGTGTGATTATCTTATTTTTCCATCTGCATTTAGGATGGATGATGCTGAGGCCTGTTTTATTCTGAGCAGCCGTTGTGAAGTAGATAGGACATCCTCTGTAAGTTTCTAAAATCTCTTTTTGTAAATTGTTCTTTTTTCCTTAGAAGATTTTTAATTTATTTATTTTTTAATCTGCCAACATTAAATACTGATGACCTTAAAAATTTTGCTACATGGAAGTGAATATCTCTAAACTATCTTGCCAAAATATAAGAATAGTTGCATCATTGACTGTATCAACGAAAGTATTCTTGAAGTAGTTATCACTAATCCTTGGGTTTTCAGTTGATCAAAATGAAATGAGTCATATATAAACAGAACTAGATCATTTTTAATTAAATATATCCTATGCGATGTGATTTTGTTCAAAAGATCTCAATTTCCTCAACTTAAAAACAAGGCAGATGGATCAGGCACTCTGCATAAAATCAGTTGGAGAGTTTCTAAAAAAATATGCATTTGTGAAAGTTCTATTCAGGATATGCAGGGTGGGAATTGGGAAGCTGTGTATTTTTAAAAGATCTCCAGGTGATTTTGAAGCACCTCCCAATTTGGAAATCTCTGGCTTATATGATCTCCATGATACATTTTTTAGGTCTAAAGTTCTATAAACTCACAATTAAATTAAATCTTACAATTTACCAAATTATAACTTCTATTTTTTAAATACATTTTAATTTTATTACTTTTAAAAAGTGCTTTATTATTCTATGTTGAGGATGTACTGTTAACTCCTGTGTTTCTAAGCCAGTAAGTTCATCGGTAGTCATACCTGTGGTACACAGACAGATGAGAACCTTGTTGGCTTCTGTAGTGATTGGGGAAAAGGCAAAATATGTCTGGGTCTTTTAGGGACATGATTTGCACTTTTCTGGAGCATCTAATAGGCGTGCTCTGGTACATTACTTTAGAATTGCAAGTCCTGAATGTGACAGGCTTTGTGTTGTTCTCACTCTAATTTAACTGAAATTTTTTACTCATTTTTAAACCAACTTACTCATCCTTCATTTGAAGAGGACTATTATGTGTTGAATTATGTCCCTCAAAAACTCGTGTGTTCCAAACCTCCAGTACCTCATAATGTGAACTTACTTGGCGATAAGGTCTTAATAGAGATAATCAACTTATAATGAGTTTATTAGAGTGGGTCTTAGTCCCATATGAGCCGTGTCCTTGTAAAAAAGGGAAATGTGGTGACCGACAGATAACAGGGAGAATGCCACATGCACATTAAGACAGTCTTCTCTAAGCCAGGAGAGAGGCCTGGGACACATACTCCCCTCACAGCCCTCAGGAGGAGCCAACCTTACCAACACCTTGATTTTGGACTCTGGCCTCCAGGACGATGAGACAATAAATTTTTGTTAAGCCACCCAGTTTGTGGTATTTTGTTATTGCAGCCCTAGCAAACTAATGTAAGGCCATAGACCAAACAAATGATTGCAAAATTTGTAAAATATTTCTTTTTAAAATATATATATTTTAAAATTCACTTGCTCCCCTCCTTCTCCACAGTTACTGTCTTAATTCAGACCAGATTCTCCTCGGTCCACTTACGCACTATTGCAATGGTTTCTTAATTGTTTCCACACATTAGTTGCTCCAAACATATTTATTGAATAAGTGAACTGGAATTGAACATCCTCTACCTTATGTTTCTGTAATTATTTAACTTATGTAATTGTGAATCTTGGGCCTCTCCAGTGGCAGCTTAGTTTCAGAAGACTTCCAGTCTTCCAGTATCTATATAACAAGGGGAGTAAACATTAGGAAATAATTACCTAATGTCTTTTAGAGTACCCTTTACAAGGTGAATTTGGAAGCTTTCCATTAAAGAGATGCATTCCATTTCCTCCTGATGCTCTAGAAAATTTGTAAGAAATGCATAAAAAGACTTCACTCATCAAGACAAAGGAGATGGTAGATGAGGAGACATTAATACAAGTTTGGAAGCTAGAAAGCAGATGGCTGGGTGGTAACTGACTTAACAGACAGAAGGAAGGTAACATTTAAGTTGAGAGAGGAAACAAATCAGAAACAGGCTCTTTTCTGCAATGGAGCCTCAAAAGTTGCAGGAAATAGAGGCACCAGATGCCTCTGCAAGTAGGGTTTTACGTGGTACTAAATATATGAACAGTGATTAAAAGTCTGGAGGAGAAGCAGTTAGATTCCCTGAACCCCTCCACACATCTATGGCTGGTCCCTCTCCCCATCCTTGGAAAATAGGTTTACTGTTTGGCGAATTTGGCCAAAATAAACACTTTCTGGCTGCCCAGGAAGAAAGAGTGGGAAATTAGCCTGTGGCAGAGACTCCTGACCCACTGATGCCCCCCCGGGAATGAAGCATTGGAAGCGAAATCCTCTGATTCTGTGCAGTTTCAGAGAAGGTCAGTGTGAGTTACTGAAGCAGTTGGGGGACAGGAGATGCAGGAGACTGTTTCCTCTGCCTACTTATGGTGGAGACAGCTCAGGCTACTGCGTGATCCAGATGGTGGGGTGGGGACCCTCCAGGAACACCCAGAAGGGCTCCCTTGGTATTGGGCTGGTTGGTGCAGCAAGACTGGTTGGTAGACACACATTAGGACTGGAAGCATTCTTAGCCAAGCGCGTGTGTGTGTGTGTGTGTGTGTGTACATAGGATGTGAAAATAAGCTTCCTGCATTCACTCAGGTCCCAAACAGCTTTTGAGTACTTCACTCCTACATATGTTCAAACAACAGTGATCACTAGACATTTAAGGAATTTCCTAACAAGAAAAAGAAGGAACCAAGTAACGGACATACAAAAAGCATATAGAAAAGAGGAATTAAGGGAAAACACAAATACCACCATAGAATTCTGGGAGAATAAATAAATTTCAAAATATGTAATAAATATCCTATTTTTAGTCATTTAGTAATTGAGAAGATGAGAAGAGTATACATATATAAAACAAGAATAGTAGGCTATAGAACAAGACAAATCAAAACAAAACAAGAATATTCAGTGAACCAAAAAGAGCTTCTGGAAATTAAATATAGGTAACAAATGAAAAATTAAATAAAATATTTAGAAGATAAATCTAAGGACATTGAAAGAATGAAGAGTAATAAGAACAATAAAACCAAATAATGGAAAAGGGGAGTCAAAACAAGAGAAAATGAAAGGAGTAGTCAGGAAGAAACAATATCCGTATAGTAAGAATTTAAGGAACAAGGTCTAGAAAATGGGGGAAATTATTAGCAAAAATATAAAACAAAATAAAAATTTTAAAAAACCCCAGAAATTAAAACAAATTTCTCAGACTGAAGTTGTCAGATCGAGAGGGGCCACTTATTAGAGATTAATGACTAAAAAATGTTATGCTTGCCAGAGAAATTGAGATACGAGAAGGACCAAGAGGAAGAAAAGAATGAAAATGAAGAGAAGGTAAAGTAGAAGAAAACACTCAAAACCAAGGATGGAGAATTAGAATGTTTTCAGACTTAGCAGTAATACCAGAAGCCAGAAGACAGTGGGTCAAGGCTTTCAAAATTCTGAGGGAAAGTACTTTTCCACTTGGAATTCTGTATCCTGGCAAAACTTCAGTAATGTTGTTGTCCGAGCATGGGTTGGAAGAAGAATTTCCAGGCCGGAAGTATTTTAGAAAAGAGAGTTTATTGAGAAGAAAGAGCAGAGTTAGTGAGGGGCGCTGCAAATACAGCGGGCCAACTTCCTGATAGACCAGGGAGAGCCGACCTCCTTTGTGGGCTAGTGGCCAACTTTTATAGTCTCAAGATAAAGAAAATTCCTGCTGGCAGGATGGCATTAGGTGATTGGTCAGGATGCTACAAGGTTACTACATGGTGATTATTTTACCTAATATGGAGTTGGGGGGCTGTCCAGTTTAGATTAGGAGAGCGCATGGCAACAGTTGCTATGGGGGTTTGGCTAATTCCAGACTTTTTGTCCTGTGTCCTTGATGTAGGGCTCCACAAGTAAGAAGATAGAAAGATATTTACAGATATTAAAAAGTTGCAAAAATGCACAGTTTTCAGGAGGCTGCTGGGAGATGTGTTTTACCAAAACTAGGGAGCGAGTGAAGACAGAATACAACTCAGGGGAGGGAATGGGAATTCCCAAGGTTACGGTCAAAGCAGATTCTGGGACAAAAGCAAGAAGGGAGTGCAAGAAGGGAGGTCTGCCTCTGGAAAAAGATGAAATCAACGTTCCCTGATGTGGTTGAATATATGGAGAGGAAGTTTCCGCTTCTGGGCAGAAAACAAATAAAGAAATAATGGCTGAAATTATTGCAACTATGACAAAAATTATAAAACCACGGATTCGTAAAACAAATCTGAAGTATGATTACTTAAAAGACTGCACTGGAACTTGTAAGAATCAAATTTCTGAAAATCAATAAGATAAACTTATGTAGCTATAAGATGCATTACATACAGAGGAAAAAACAATTTTAATCAGAAGACAATGGGACAACTGTTTTAGAGTGCTTTGAAAAATTGTCAATATACTATTTCATTTCTTGTAAAAATATCTCACAAAAAGGAAGCCATGATAAAAACATTTTTATACAAACAAAACCTATGAGCATTTATTGCCAGCAGACTACATTTTTTAGAAAGTTAAAGTTCTTCAACAAAAAGAAATGATGTCTTCTGAGAACTTAGATTTATATGAAGAAATAAAGAGAGCAAAAATGGTAAATATGTAGGTAAATATAAATGACCTTAATTTTTAAAATATAAATTATTGTTTAAGGCAAAAAAAATAATAGTCGTGGAACTTGTAAGAAATGTAGAAGTGAAATTAATGGCAATAATATGACAAAGATTGGAAAGGGACGGTGGAAATATACTGTAATAAGATTCTTGCGCTTTACATATTATTTGAATGAAGAGTTTGATAGAGATTTATGTTATAAAACAGAATGACCATGATATCTAAGATAAAACAGAAGACAAAATGGTATACTAAAAATATTTACTTAATCTGAAAAAAGGCAGAAAAAGAACAAAAAACAAATAGGACAAGTAGAAAACAACAAGATAGTAAACTTAAACTTAAACCATATCAATGACT